TTAAAACCAGGTGTCTCCTCGTCAGGCAAGTCAAAAGGAGAGATATCAATAGAGTCATCATCACTTCAATATTGGCACAAGAACAGTGTGCCCATTTATCACAACTGCTACATTTATTGTTATTTTTCAAATAAATAAACATAAAAGTTTCAACTTACTTGTAGACTATTTACTTTATCAGACGATACTGTCACTTCGCGCATGCTCAGTTTCGCTATTTTGTAAGCAGACGATATTTTTTTTTTCATGAAAAAAAATGTTTATTTCGATTGTTATCTTACATTTTATTTCTTGTTAAGATATTATTTAAATTTAAAAAAATGTTTTCATAAATAAAATAAAACGTAAAAACATTATTTTATGGTTTGAATTTGTTGGTAATACTGAACACCAGGGGAGTTTGGTTCCATATTTAAAGCACCAATGGGGTCCATATTTCACGCATCTCCATCTTGGGTTAACTTAATTTCTGTCGACACCAAACTTTAAAAACGTGAAAATCACACAGATTAATATGTACCCCTAAGTCTCTGGAACGGAATACGTGCACCAGTGAACCTACACTACACGATTTATATTTTAAAAATAATTAAATTCACTTAGCATTCAAAACTTGCGAATTTTGAAAAAAAAAACAAATTTGCTGATTAAATGTGAACAACTGTTTAACTGAAGTAAAACGGGTTTTCCCCTTGCTATGGATGTCTGTCTAGTTCAGTTCAGCCACATTCCGCTACAGTTCGCCTTTATTATCAGTTCGAAATGGGGTGGGTCCATAATACCCGCAGTGTTCCATAATACTACCTTCTCCTCTACTATTTGTATAATTATTGTATTGAAATTTTAAAGTAAGTTTGTTGAATTCTGATAAAAAATCTCCATTGAAAAGTATTAAAATTTAAAAAACATTATGACAGTAGCACAAAGTCAAAATAATTGTGTGTGGCGCCATCTGTTATAACGTTATAAAAAATAACTTTTATATTATTACGAAAGGCAAAAAGGCTTAATTTTAAGGATAGATGTGAGTTTTTAAAATTATTATAAATGCCAATAAGGAGTAAAATTTTCATATGACACATGACACCGTCTATCTCCCATCCCTTGAATTCCTAGTCCAAAACTTAATAGCTTGAATGCTCCTTATATAGGTTACCATGCCAAATTTCGTTTCTTAATCTTTACCCCATTCTGAGATATTAAACGAAATGGATGCCAACACATACAATATTTTCCTGTTTTCTTTTTTCTTTTCTTGGTTCAGGAGATCTCAAAACGTCGAGATTTGCTAAAATTCCGGAAGAGACAATTACAATTTTTTCCCGAGTTATATAAATAACAGCCGGTAAAGAAAAACTAACTTTATTGCAATAATGCATTAAAATAAATTCTACATAATAAATTTAAAAAGTTAGTAATAATCCTATAATAATAATATAAGAAGAAACCATTGTGCACAAGAAATTATCTCCTTTTCATGCGTAATTACTTTCATAAAAAAATCATGAAATAGCAATTCTATATGAAAGTGTCACTTAATAAATATACACAATTAATTTCGATTGTTTAAATTTTTCGTGTTGAAAAAAAAATTTGTTTAATCACTTATCGTGATATTGTCTAAAACAGTGTTTCTCAACGGGGGCGATAGCGCCGCCATGTGGGCGTTTTTCCATGTTGAGGGGCGATTAGTAACAATTTATATTTTGGGGGGAGGCAAAAAACAATTTTCTGGACGATATAGTAAAACATTATATTAAGAATAATTAGTTATTTCTTTCGTTATATCGAACAATAATTAAACAAATAACATTATACTAATTACTAGTCTATTCAATGCAGTACGAATTTGGCGTTAGCCTTGTCCCTCGGCATCGGAATTTTGTAGTGAAGGGGGCATACTACGTAACGGTTTTATTAAAGGGGGCGACGATTCGTTAGAGGTTGAGAAACACTGGTCTAAAATATGAAGAGAATTGCTGTATTTTTACAGTATATCGTAATATTCAGCTCAATATTCACATCATGGATTGCGAACAAAAGGATAGAAATGTTTTATTAATTTCATTGGACACCGAAATAAACCAGAAACGATTTGCTCAACTTTACCGGCAACATTTAAAATCTTGGTGGCGCCATCTGTTATAAAAAAAATTTTTAAATAAAATATTTTATTTTTAATTATTATAAAATAACAAAAAGCTTAATTTTGATAATAGGGGTGGGTTTTATAAAAAATTGGAAATGCTAATAACGAGTAAAATCGTNAATACGATATTTTTAATTATTATAAAATAACAAAAAGCTTAATTTTGATAATAGGGGTGGGTTTTATAAAAAATTGGAAATGCTAATAACGAGTAAAATCGTCATTAAGTCCGACCCTACTGGCGATACACACGATCCCCTTTATCTCCCCTACCCCTCGACCTTTACTCACCAAAATTTATTAGCATCAATCTCCCTAATAAACAAAAACAAACCTTCATGCAAAATTTCAGAAATTTTTGACAAAAAGCACAGAAGTTATTAATTAAACAAAGAGGAGGGTGAAGAAAATCATGCAACACACACACACACTAACATCCATACATACAGGAATTATCTCCCAATATTTTTTTATTATTATTATTTCTCGATGTTTCAATGTATCCTAAGCCCAAAAATGTAAAAATCTTCGGGAGGGGGGTCATTTTTTGACCGATCGCCATACTTTTCCTCCGTTATAAATAACAGCGAAGAAAGTAAACTTTAAGATCTAAAACACTCAAAAATTGTTTTCTGTGTCCACATTGGATAATTCTTCAATTTCAGATACGAAACATTTGATTGATTGTATAGTAACATGATTATTTTCTCACTTAAGAGGATCCTAATGTCGAACCTTAATATTTAGGAATCTTATTGTTTAATGAAAAGTATGACTCCTACAAATTAGCCATTGTCTGAAGCATTCCTATTTAAAGCATGCCATTACTATCATAAATTTTCTTTAGAGGTTTTGAGTTTTCCTTCAAAATCAATTCAAATTTTTCTCACTTATTCTTTCAATTAATTCATAATAACACTACACCTGTCACAATAACTATTATTGCTTAGAATTTTCTAAGGATTTTTAATGCAGATCATAAGACCAACTCTAATTTAGGATTTTGTAATCCGCATACGGAATTTACAGGAAAGGTTTAAAATGATGTTCAACTTCATGTAACTAACAAAACTCTCGCAATTTTCAGCTGTTATTTTCTATAAGTAAAAGTTTAAACAATTTTTTCTTTTGTTTAAATTAAAATAAAACTGTTTTAAATGAAACTAATTTTATTAAAACATTAAACTGATGACTTTCTATAATGATAATGATATTTTGTAAACATACTATATACAATACCCAATTGAAGAATTCAAATTCTGAAATAAGTCGATACAAAGAAACTTTTTACATTTTATATTCAATATTTTCCATCATACGTTAAATTTTATATACATAGCTGACTTTCTAATTGTATTTTTGACATGTTAGATGGATATAAACGTTTATATATTACAGAAATGCTTTAAACTTTTAAAACGTAACAGAAATACAGTTTATTTACAAAAGAAAATTTAACTTTTCTTACATTTTTGGGCGTTATTGAATAAAGAAATTTTTAGTTTGGCACTTTTTCTTTATAAGGAATCAAGACAATCTTTAAATACACAAGTTTCAGTAATCGGTGGTGCTCGTTATATAACTCACAAAATGATATAATCTATTGCAAGAACAGAATGCCCAGTTTCTTCGTAGCATTCTTCATTCTGATCTTCATAAATCACGATTCATCTCAATTTTCAAGGAACATCTGGTTGAGTCACAAATCTATAAAGCTGTGATCCATCATGTAAATGCTTTTTAAGATCGATATGACAAATGACTCGTCCATCCAGAAGGTGGCGGCCATATTGAAGTGCTTCGTAACGACTTCCCGCTAATCCCGCTTCCAATAACCAATCAATAAGTTCTTTTCCACGAAAACAATTTTCGTAGTTCTTTTGTTTCAATCTATTTTTTTCAAAGAAAACTACTTAGAAGGATTCGTGACTATTTTAATTATTTCTTCGAATTTCTATTTACTTACATTAAGTTCCTGCAAAGTTCTTTATTGCAATTTTCGTAATGATATGTTAAAAATTGCTGACATATACGCTTGGTTTCATAATTCAGATCTTCCATTGGTTTTAATACAAGAGTTCTGCCGCAAAACAATTTTCTTAAACTGCAAATTATTAAAGTCATATTAAAATACCCCAATGTAATATTCCAATATAAATTAAAAAATAAANTGTGTATTAGAAGCATTGATGCTATTACATTTTGGTGGTTAAAGGCTGAGGGGGTGAGGAGATAGAGGGTGATCGTGTGTTATATCTCGAGTGGGGTCGTACTGTACTTAATATTATTCGTTATTAGTATTTACATTTTTTTTTTCTTTTATAAAACTCATCTCCACTTTCACAATTAAGCTTTTTGTAATTTTATAATAATTATTAAAATAGAAAGTTTTTTTTTTATTTTAAATGTTTTTGTTAGGAAAGTTACGCAACTCGTTGCTGGATTTTATTATGTGAAGTGGGAAGAGAAATTTGGAAAATAGAGGAGAATGGGAGCATTTAACCTGAACCTCAGATAAAGAGGAATATAAATTTAATCTTTACAGAAAAAAACATGATATAGAAGTATTGATTTCATTCATATATTTTTATGACTTTCGACGAGAGTTGAATGTTTTTAGTGGTCTCACTAAAAATATGCGACTCCCACTTCACTAGCTGACTGAGAAATGGGTTCCTTTCTCTTTAAGCCCAGGATACGAGAGATGATCCAATGTACTCCTCTTAGTTCCTGGTGAAGTATCGATCATCATCAGGTTTTTGGAGAAGGATGGACTCTATTTGTGAGCTCTTACTATTTTCATAGGTCTCACGATATTTGATACTTCATCAGAAGTTAAAAATATGTCCTTATTGAAAAAAATCTAGGATCTGAGTAATAAGTCTAATTCATTTCTCTCGGTCCTCCGGGAAAGTAACAGCAGTTCATCTATTTATGTATCCATATTAGTTATAATTATTTATATAAAAAAAAATATAGTAGATAATTTACAGGAATGTGGTGCTACACTAATTGTTGAAGATTTTCTTAGTTTGTAAACAGCAACTTGAGTGCATTCAATTAATGTCTTATCTGTTACATTTTCATTAGAAGAATTATCTTCGATACAAATTTCTGGAATTTCTTCGACGTTTTGTCTCGGATTTTGTCGGTAATATAACACCAAAGACGAAAGAGTTATAACGAAACTCAAGCTTAACACTACGGACGACGCGATAGCCTAAAATATTTTCGATACATTCATTTCAAATAATTAAATTTCATTATTTCATTAATAATTTAAATAATTTTGAGTCATTTACCTCATCATTACCATAGAGAAATACAGGAATATCCTCTTTATCTTCTACAAGATGACCTCTTAAACCAGTTATAATGATCAGAACAATCATTATAACAATGGGGATTCTATAAACACAAAACATGCAATTTTTTAAATATTATTGATAACTTATAAAGTAAATTTACTGATTTTAAGGAAATTGTTCGTACCCAAAACCGAGAGAAAGACAATATCGAAGAATTTTATCGAAACAGTTAGGAAATTTAGCGAAAAGGACAATTGCTGCTGCTAAAATAGCAGTCCAAGATCTTGCTGCTAAATGTCCTCCAGTGATGAGAGCAATGTGTATATATGCTAAAGATGTATTGCTTTTAGCTACGCCGTACCATACCAATAACCCAATACTCATAAGTATCTAAAAAATTTAAAAAATTAAGTTTTTGGGCATTTTCTATAATTGTACCGTTTGGAAAATTTGCAGTTTATTCTCATCGGTTAAGGAAATTGTTTTATCTCATCTAAGAATAAATTATGACGATGTGTGCAACGGTGTTTTAATTTCTGGTTATATGACATTCTGATAAATATGGAAATTAGCAGTTTATAAAAGTGCATTAAACCGCAATAATTTTCGTGCTTTGCATACATACATTAAGTATCCTCATGCTCATGATCCAAAAAAGTTAGTAGTAAGTAATAGGAAACTGCAATGTTACAAACTATTTATTCAGCAAGTTTCTCCACACCTTCCTGTCATTTGCTTCAGCACACATTCACACCTGTTTCAACACACTTTCTCACATTCTCTTTCTGACTCAACACGTTTCATTACTTTAGATATTTATCCACATGTACAAACCAAGACGTTCTTGGCCATTCCCCATTGCGTTTCCTATCTCAATCCCACATGTATATTCTCTTCAACAGTTTTCGTTTCATTCTCTTATAATGGCCCCACCATCATTGTGTTAATTCCTTATATTTTCAAATAAACTCGCTGTAATCCCACACTCCTGTAGCATTTGTTTTTCTTCATGATTTTCACCTTCTTGTTGTCAGCAGAATTGTATGCTTTCTGGACTCTGTCGTTTTTGTCAGCAGCAGTTTGCAATAATACGGATATACACACATTAAATAGATCAAAGGGTAGTTACTAGACTCTACCCTCTGACCTCCAACCTGAATTGGTTCTTCAGCTTGTAAGTTATGCATAGGACTAACAATTCCGTAATGTAAAAGTTTTTACATTCTTAAAAGAAGGCAAATGGAAAAAAGATGTTTTGCTTATTTGTATTTATATTTTAAAAGAATTAAACATANGTACTTGATATTATTCGTTATTAGTATTTACATTTTTTTTTTCTTTTATAAAACTCATCTCCACTTTCACAATTAAGCTTTTTGTAATTTTATAATAATTATTAAAATAGAAAGTTTTTTTTTTATTTTAAATGTTTTTGTTAGGAAAGTTACGCAACTCGTTGCTGGATTTTATTATGTGAAGTGGGAAGAGAAATTTGGAAAATAGAGGAGAATGGGAGCATTTAACCTGAACCTCAGATAAAGAGGAATATAAATTTAATCTTTACAGAAAAAAACATGATATAGAAGTATTGATTTCATTCATATATTTTTATGACTTTCGACGAGAGTTGAATGTTTTTAGTGGTCTCACTAAAAATATGCGACTCCCACTTCACTAGCTGACTGAGAAATGGGTTCCTTTCTCTTTAAGCCCAGGATACGAGAGATGATCCAATGTACTCCTCTTAGTTCCTGGTGAAGTATCGATCATCATCAGGTTTTTGGAGAAGGATGGACTCTATTTGTGAGCTCTTACTATTTTCATAGGTCTCACGATATTTGATACTTCATCAGAAGTTAAAAATATGTCCTTATTGAAAAAAATCTAGGATCTGAGTAATAAGTCTAATTCATTTCTCTCGGTCCTCCGGGAAAGTAACAGCAGTTCATCTATTTATGTATCCATATTAGTTATAATTATTTATATAAAATTTTAAATCTTTAATTGTATATATGAATATCAATATTGCGTTTGCTAATTTTATTTTTATTTAGATTTAATGCTCTGATTACATCTAATAAAATCCTTTATATCAAGTGATATAGTAATAAATTAGTCAGCGGATGCTATTTATTTACTTTTCCATAACTGAAATTGCGATTTGCATGTAGAGCGTTTAATTGTATTATTTTCAATGTTTTTTGTTGCAAGAAACAATTTTTTTAAATATAAAAGTTGAAGTAAATCTAAATATAGATATACTGTACATATATAAAAATGAATAACATATACTTTTGCAAATGTTATATTAATTTATGTAATGTCTTAACATTTATTCTTATTAACTTTTAATTATTTTACGAAAATATTTGCTAAAATTACGTACTGATGCCAATAATCCCAATATTCCCAGGACCAGAAGAGTATTGCTCATTTGCATGGCGTATTCGGCTACACCACTCACATGCATGGTGACCATCTTTGCTAAAACGAACATAAGTGGTGCAGTAAGAAAAGTGCAAACTACCATCGTCGCGGAGAGCTTAAAATATAAAAATTTTCATGGTTATTTAATTAAAATTATAAGTTATCAAGAGAAGTAAGTGAAAGAACACTCACCACTTCTGTAGGTAGGCTGTATTGATTAGCAAAAAGCAATACAATGGGTCCAGTTGGAACCATTCCATATAAAAACCCATAATTTGCTAAATCTTCGACATCTGGGTATGTTGCACATAAAAGTTGTACAGTTGCACGAATAATAAGAGGTGAAGCTAGCCTAAAATATAATTCAGTTAGATTAAAATATTGAAATTGCTTCGTGTAGATTCACATTAATGGAATAAAACTTACATTTTTACAGCTAACAATATCCCAGGAACCAAAAGTCCAGCACCAGCAAGACTACTTCCTGTTCCTAATATACTAAAGCCTAATAAAAATAATACAGTTGCTTCGAAAGCCATACTCAAGACCTGCAATAAAAATATTTAATTATCAAAAATATATTTAAAAAAAATAAATCATTTCTTGGTAAATTATACTTTTTAATTTTACAAATTTAAATCTATATGAATCCTTTATTTGTAAGATATTTCTTAAGATATTAGAAAATTCTTACCTCTAGTATTCGAATGATTACATCGGGGAATTGTCCTCTTAAAAATATATTACCAAGGACTCCTAATAATGTCATGAAAACATTTGGATTAGTTAACACTTCCCAAATTATTGAGAAAATCATTTTGGTAAATTTAAATATAATTTGTCTTCTATTAATAAATAAATCTTTATTCGAATTAGTAGAACGGAATTTTTCAATTTCCATCATTAAAAATCCTATAGGATTTAAGATTATAAGCGATATCGGTGCTATTAGATACATGTATCCTGGATAGTATGGATATTTTGATCCGTATAAGGACGTTACTGAAAAATAAAAAAGAAATAATAAGATTTGTATGATAAAAATAGAAAATTTTAAAATATTTAATTAAAATCTACATATTTTAAATATTTATGTATAATATAAGTCATTGAATTTATTAAGTTAATTACATTTTCACTTTAACATCATATTCGAATTTGATTGGTCGAGAAAAATTTTTCAAAATTTACGTAATCAACGAACCTGTTTAAATTTAAATTTTTCCTGCTTGGAATAAAGAATTTATGTAAATAAATTATAAAATTAAATAAAAACTTATTTAAATTTGTTTGATATTTAAATAGGATGTTATAAAAAAAAATAGACAAAAACAGAACATGAAACGCTATTATTTTGGGGTGCTTCTAAGTGACAAGCAGCCAAGTAAGCAGACCAATAGCATAGTTTATTTCATATGAAACGAGATATGCAATCGGTTTGCTTACTTAACTGCTTGCTATTTAGTACTCTTGTTTTCTCTCAAAAACAGGTTTATAAAGTCACATGACGATTTAAATCCTTTGACCAGTCTAGAAGGGCTTTTTTTGAAGTTTAAAGATTCTGAAAAAAATCCATTAAAATGAAAAAAGATTCTACAAATAAATAATTAAAGTCACGCCAAAAAGAAAAACGATCTTTGACTTTTCTTCAGACTTTCTGTCATTGCTTTCTGTAAGAAAATACAATTTCTACAAGGAGCAAGATTTAAAACATAAATAAGAATTCTTGTAAGGGAAATAAGATCTCATATAACAATATTTGTCCATACTCTTATCATAAGCTATTTTTTACTCTTAAAATAATTCATCCTTATAATTTGGTATGAGCTAGAGTTTTTCAATGCCAATATCTGGAAAATTGATTATTCCAAAAATCCTTTCATTTACAAGAGGTTCATTTCTCTTGTGCTTAATTAACTCCTGATTAACAGAATTGAAAATGTCAGAAGAAAATTTTATCCTCTATAAATAACACAGTCAATGTTGTGTGATTAGTTTCGGTCTAATAAGCGAGTAGACCAGACTCTTGTACTGTACATATAGATACATTGTAATTGGATAATATTTTTGGAAATGTTCTGCCATTCCTTAATTCAGAGATATAAGAGTTAATTTTTTAGATTGTTGTCACTGATGATTAGAGTTTGGATAATTATAGTTGATGTAGAGAGTGTTATGGTAGAGAGTATGATGTAGAGAGCACATGGCAAGCGATAACCAATAGTAAGAATGAGAGGTCACGTCACGTCTGATCCATGAATATGACCTATGTATTTTTCTGGAGACTTTTAACTCAATCAACCGTGTTTTAAACTAAATTCGTGCTGTAAATTCAAACGTTATTATCTGTTATGTTTTTATTCGAATTACGATTATCGATTAATTACACCAGCATATTCTTTGTAAATATTTATACAATTATTTGTATTAAAAAACAATAAGCGCATGCTTATTTTAAATCTATTATGCCTAAAAGTCATTAACAACACTCCATTCTGGAAGGAGAAGTCACCAAAACCATTCTTTACAAAAATTTTCTCAAATTCTGTTCGAATCCTTCTCTGTTCTTAAATGCAGTCGCCAGAAAATGTTCTAGAACTGAAACGTAGTTTTTCGCAGTACATTCAAAAGACTAATCGTTCTTTTTTAAAGCAAAAAATGGGATTCTTTGGCATCCTAACAACAATTATGACAACGGAAATGACGTTTACGACTTTAATTTAATGTTCTAAGTCATCAACAAACATGTTAGTTGGAAGAATGACGTCAGATTCATCTTTCGCCAAAACAAGTATAGAATTATATTTTTAATTATCTTATGATGGAAGTTCTCTTGATTTGTTTATCGTAATTCTATGTAAACTTTTTCAATGCTATTTTCTACTTCATTCAATACTTTGAATTGTTATTGACAATATTTTCAACTTGAATCAATTTAGCAGTCCATGTTAAAAGTTATCCGTGATAAACAGATTGAAAGATGAAACATCTAGAAGAGGCCTGATCTATTGATAGAAGGTTGGATTTCGGAAGTAGCCTAACTTACAATAGCTATTTTTAAAAATGTTATGATGTTGGACTAATGTTGTCATATACAGATTCTTGTCAGATCCTCTTGTTACATCGATATTCTATTACTATTTTCCTAATTTTTAAATAATATCTTTATCGAAAAACATATCGTTTCAGAGACTCATATCGATATTATCTTCCGTTAGATTTACGTAATTCTTCTAGACACGTTCTTCAAAAATTAATGATGTTCCGATCATGATTACTTTGGATGTGTTTTCCTCTAACTTTTCCTTATAATCTCACCTCGTCTGGAAAATATGTATGTAGTCAAATATTAATACAATAGCATACCGGTATATAACGAAATAAAGTATGTGGAATATTGCCAAATTTTATTATTTGAACACAGTGTGGCTACATTGCATGCAATCTCTGCATCAATCAACTTCGCATGAGTAAGTCTTTAATAAAATTCCTGATGTGGAGAAGAAAATGTTTCGAAATTTACAACAATCTTTGACGATTCTTGTAAATAAATGCTTTCAATAACCCTGTTTGTTTGCGGTAGAAACAACTGGGTTTTTATCACGATCATCATGTTAGAAATTCACGTTATAGGCTTGTGATTTATCAAATTTAGGAAAATTTAATTTTGTCCTTGACCAAGATGAATCCCTTTTGTGAATAATGTTGTAACTTAACGATAGTGTTACAGCTTCAAAAATCACTAAAAAACTCGAAATTATTTCATACTGTATTAAATCTATGACATTCTCTTAACACGTAAGAATTATTTTTTTCACATTTGATTCCTTTTGAATTAAGATCACTAAAAAAGCCTTTTTTCCATACCCATTATCGGTCGGAACTCGTTTCACAGTGGGGACGGCGAGATAGTGAAGGAGGTGGTGGTCTATTCCTACATATAGGGATAGACCACCAATCAAGAAATTCTTGATGTTGCTTGTCAGCAGGCCCATTGAAAGAAGGGGACGCTTTGGATTTTTTCATTATTTTTCTTATACTGCAATTCATAAAAGAGAGTTTAAAACGATAACGTGTATTACAGAATGTTTTGCTTCTGTTATCTTTTATCATTTAACTTCAATATGAGACATGAAAATGTGACTACAATAATACATATTTTATTCTTAAAATATCATATATATTAGCTGAATTAATGATGTAAAAATTGTTGTTCTTATATATGATTTAATTCACTAAAGTATAGAAAAAGCTTAAAAGTGATATGCCATATAAATCTCTTATATTTATAATTTTTAATCCCAAATGATTGTGGCCGTCCGTATTATTCGAGTTTTCGGTTATCCGAAGTTGCCGTTGGGTCATATTGCCTCAAATAATTGGGATTCTACTTTATTCTGAAATGTATAGTCATATACAATTGTCACTTTAATCGTCACAACGACGGGCTGCAATTTTTGCTCTCCATCTCAATTAATAGTAGCTTGCCCCTGTACATCATTCTTTTCCTTTAACAATAGACTCGTTTCGGTCATCTATCTAACACCTTTCAAGGGAAAAATTTTCAATTGAAATAACATGACTTCTGGTTTGTATTGAGCATTCATAGTATAGTTAATCGGGGCCTCCTGCCCCTAAGGTTTCCATATCTGTTCTCATCTTTCACCTATCTAACACCGTTTTCGAGATTACGGAAAGATAGACAAACAGACTTACGACAGTGATAATTTATAGGTTTACAATTTTTTCAAATTGCAGCCCCCCAAAAAATTAAAACAGATTGTAGACTGTACAACTAAGTGGCAAGAATCAAAGCATGTAGAAGAGAATTAAGTTTGATCCTATGTAATATCCAAACACTTCATTCATTTTTTATGGTATAAATCTGTGACTCTACTGAGAAGGTTCCTCTGCATCTTATTTATAAATGTGTTCTGACACATTCGTTCTTCTGGATTTATCTTTTTTGAGATAAATCCAGATGTCTGCCATTTTTCTTTAAGAGTTTATCTTTTTTTCAAAGAAATCAAAGTTTTGTGGGGTGCACAACGGACTTTTTAGGTCGAAATACATTGGCTATTGTTTCTTTTGTTAAGATATTGTACTAAACTATACGTCAGTCTACAATCGATACAGTATGAAACTTAGTAAGACAACGAGACGAGCATAATAAATTTGAAGTTATACGAAAATTTCATATGTAATTGTAAAAAGTTCCTTAAAAATTTGAATCCATAATATCTTATTTATAATATTAATCTACTAATCTACGCGAATCTGTTACGAATTTTGTAATTTTTTATTAATTTCGTAACGTTTTCTTTAATTATATCATAGTTTTACATTATTTTCTGAATGTTTTAAAGTAATTTATATAAGATAAATATGAACATAACCATTCCTTAAAATTTTGATACTAGTAATAAATAATCAAAAATACTTACTTATGGGATAAGCTAAACCGAAATCGTTTCCTTGAGTACAGAATATTGCATATAGTCCACATATGGCTAAATTAAATGGTTTTCTTACGATGAGAGTCACTATAGCAACTAGGAAGAAAATTGCAAGTTTTCCTATCAAAACTCCAATTACAAATGACCAATTGGCGTGAATTAAATCTATGGTAATTAAATTCAAAAATATCAATGCTGGAAGCGAAAACTCTGAAGCAAATCTGCTGAGTCCTTTAATTTCGGATCCAACGATCATATGAAGCTTTCCAGCAATATACCTAGAAATATCAATTTTAAAGTTTTTTTTATTTTAGCATACTGGTTTCACCCATGATGCGGGGAATACAAACTTATAAAAAAGAATTACAGAGATCAATATACAACAATAAAAACCACCGTGATTATAATGAATTGTTACAGAATATAAATACACAAATACAAAATTCACAAAACTGACAATAAATAATCAATTAAAGAAATTATTAACATAAATCATANAAAATTATTGTTATTTTATCTTAGATTATGCATTAAAATTTATAAAGTTTATAATAATTTAGTTTTACTGAATATTTATGATTTATGAATAACTTTGTGATATAAGGTTCCAGTTACTAATTACTAAGACAGGAATTGATGCAGATTGACAATTCTAGAAATAAAATGAATGGATATATTTGTAGTTTGTTACAAATGAGAAAGTTCTAAGAAGATGATAAGACATTTTTATATGCAGCTGAATAAATAATTCTGCCAACCTCATTACTTCCTAGAAGTTGATGATGATCAATGAACGAGAATGACTTGAAAATATGCTTTTAATATGTTAAGTTGTTTCAGTGGTCAAGGTGAAGAGAATCTTGACAAAGGGTGGAGTAAGTAAATCGTGATACTGTTATATCTTGATATAGAATGACTCAGGGAATTTTAGTTCTCACGTTTGGGGAAAGTACTAAATATTTTTGTTTATGAACCATATTTTTGTTTTATTAAGATGTTAACGGATTTAAGCTTAAAAAATTCATATAAATGTACCGTATATATATATGTATTATTTATTAAAAAAAAGCATAAAAATTTAATATAGATATGACACTTCTTTAATGCTGTGATAATTCTAAAACGAATTAAAATAAAAAGAAATTGAATATTTTGATGAAATATTAATGAATAATATTGTAAATGATGTCAAAAATTTAGTTTAAATAATATTTGTTGGAAATAATATTTATTTTATAGAATTAATTGAGAAAAACATTGACGAAAGGTGAAACGAGTTAAACACGCGTCGCTCATAACTAAAATTACAAGAAATAATTTGCATATTTTCTTATCAGTTATAACGTATATTAAAGTATAGAACAATGAAAATAAAAAAAGGATTTTATCAAGATTTAAAAGTTTAAAATTGTATTTTTCTATGATGGATTACATTAAAATTGTTTCATGTGATTTAAAAAGTATTATTCGTAATTAAATAAATTTTGAATTTTTTAAACAAAGATGGTTTCAATGATAAATCTCTCTTTTGATATAAAATAATAAAACTGTGTATAAAACAATAATTAAAAAATTTATACTCATACTCATACACATATTATACTATCTTGTATATCAATAACCATTCTTTCTGCATTTTTATAGAATTTTTATATTAAAAAAACTTGTCAAATATATTAGAATATGTTATGTTTTACATTTACTGAAGAGTTTATAACATAAAATTGTTTTAAAATATGAAATAAATAATTTTTTCCTGAAATATCATATAAAAATAGGGTTACCTTATGGGTGTCCAGGAGTTTAAGTCCAAAAGTCTTTTAAAAAGTAGGTCTATTCTTCCTCTAAATACATCCACAGTGTCCTCATTTTTAGAAAAATCTGTCCTTCTTTCATAATTTTTATCTGGTAAAACTATTTAAAGAAAGAACTGCTACCGCTCTATACTTGAAAGTTTTGATCCAGAGAAAACTTTAAAATACCATTCAATTATATAAAAATTTATATAAAAATCTTATATTATAACTAAATTGTAGTAAATATGTACAAAAATCTTGGAAAAAAATTTCTTGGTTTTTTATTAAAATTCAATTTCATTATTTATCAAATTTCCAAGAAATGATTTCACGATAAATTTTTTGAATCTTTATTGAACCATTGAATAAAAAACATAAATACATTTTTCTTGATAATATCTTTTGAAAATTTCGTCTATAAATATTTTTATTATAATTAAATCTACAATGGAACAAGTTTTTAAAGTAATAAGAATAAAGAATTCTATTTTTTTAAATATAGTGAAAGAATGTTTCAAAAGTTTTGCGTGCAACAGGAAAAATAAAAGAATAACATCACGATGTTGTAGATAAAAAAAGGAAAAATATTTTTTAAAAAGTCACGATATGATAAATAATAAGGTTTAATAATTTTAAAAATAAGAAAATAAATTCGATAAAATTAGAATTGATAAAGTAAATTAACCGTAAAGAAAAGCGAGAACGGATTGTTAGAAAAGTTGAATTGAGAAGCGTTAAAAGATGGCTATTTTTGAAAGATCTGCAGTAATTGTGTTATGATACGATGTTGAAAATGTATACTACAAGAGTCTAGAGTTGGATTTTAAAAAAATTTGTACTATAGAAAAACTTGAAATTGATGATGCTACTGTAGGAACATTAATTTCGATTTTGATCATGGAGAGTTGAAGACTCTGATACTTTAAAAGTGACAAAAATGCGATGAAGGAAATACTTTCTTTGCTCTAAAGCGAATCTTAGATATTGTAAAATAAAGAATTAATATTTTATAATACATTGTGTGAAATATAACTAATGATGAGGTATTTCAAAAAATAATCATTCAGGTGTTATCTTTAGAAGGGCATCAGGAATAAATTTGTATAGTATTATTTCATTGATAAACCTAACAAGATGTGTATACTTCGTATATACTGTATATATTCAGTTAAAGAACAAATTGTTCTCTCTGCTTCTATCTGAATACGCTTCTATAAGAAAATGATTTTAATTAAATACGAGTAGCTGAAATCTAGGATATAAAACATAAAATCCAAATTAAATTCGTTTAATTCATATAAGAATGAAAGAACACTAAGCCATCGCCTACAAGATAAATTAATTAATTGTGGATGAGAAGAAAACACGGTATAAATAAATTGATAATTAGTTATATCGTGAAATAGAGCCATCATAGAAGCCATCAATAAAAGCATTATATTATAGGCATAATATAAAAGTATCACAGATATAAAAACTGAAGATAATCTATTCTAAAAATAGTTACCTCTCTCATTTAAATTACCATATATCATTCACGTATTTAATTACTTTTAATTAATCATATTTAATATAATTTCTTCTCATTGATGATTTCTGGTTAATGCTTTTGGTGTTTTATGCTATTCGTTTTTGATTTTACTACTTTATTTTCTAAAATAATTAAATAATCGAATGTAATGATCTTATAGAATTATATCATTAGTCACGCATTATACATTTTTCTTATATACACACATAGAAATATAACAAGTATGTACATAATGTATTAAAGAATGAAAATTACTGTATAAAAATTTGTGATTATTCTAGAAATACAAATTTCAATTTAACATTATTTTTCTGTTGATAAACATGAATTACTAAATTAATGCATGCCCTATTTACTCAGATATTCTACATTTTCATCTATATCGAATTTGATTTGTTTAGAAAACAAACTAAATATTAATATTAATGTATAGTACTTGTTTATTGTATTCTTAATAAGAACTTTATCTAAACTCAGGCATTTTATTATACTAAATGAGCTACAGGGTAACTATATGAATGTGTTTGTTAAGAGTAAATCAATATTTTAATTAATTAAAACATACTAAATATATATGATATAATACTTATAATAGTTATGTTTATACTTGAACGTCTGAAAACTCTGCCATCATAAAATAAATTTATTTTTAAATGATATGCGTCATACATATAACTAACACCTTATTCTTGCCGAGAAATATAATTTATTTCAAACAAATGTTTTCAACCTGATTCACGGGCCATCTTCAGGTTTAGAACATATTTGAATTATATTACATATGTCACCTCTGAATAAGTTCTTCAGAGGTGACATATGTCTTTACCACCTTCTTGGGTCTTCTTAACTTGAAGAATTCTTAACCTGGGGTTCATGGAACCCTTGGGTCTTGAATTGGGTCTCAATAGATTTCCTCAATAGATTTCAAGGGACGCGAAAACTTATATCACAAAAATTATATCTGTATTTTCAATAAATGTTAACTATTGTTACATACTGTTTTAGTGAAGAAGCACGTGTATATACATTGTTACCATATAACAAATTTAATATATTTTTAATACAATATTTTGATAACTATGTTTCATTATCATTGATTTCCTTTGTAATCCTATGTATTTTATTTTAGTCATTTAAAAACGTTATTTTGAGACAGAATCTATAAGTTTTTGTTAATTGCCAAAGGAATCATGGAAAAATAAAAGGTAATAAACCTCTGAACAAGAATATTCGTGGACCAATCAACAGAAAAAAACGTATCTGTATACGAATGACTGTATTCTTTTTAGAATAATGCAACCAGAAAGTTCTAATGGGAAAAAATAAACTTATCCTCCAAAACAAGGCAAATGATTCTATATAGGATACAATTTACATAATTAATTTTAATAAAAGGTAACNAATTTTTAAAATTTGTTATTTAAAATATGATAAAATTAAAATATATAAGTTTAAAATAATATTTTTAACAGTATATTTTTTACAAGATAACGTCATTATATCAATCCTTTAATAAATGTAAGTGTAAAATTCAACTTATAAATCTCATTTTCTCTATTTAAAAAAGGGGTCGAACTCGAGCTTTTTTGTAGAAAGACTCGGGTTCTAATCCCAGCTTTATAAGCGGGCCAAGATTCTGCATAGCTAATTTTATATTCTTTTAGAGTAATTAAAATAATTCATATATTTGCGAAAGACTTGAGTTCGAATCTCCACAACCAAGTCTTGCTAAACTTGTGATTTATATTCTAGAAAATTAAGGACTTTAATGCATAAAACATCACTATAATGTTTTTTTTTTTTTAAATGGGTATTTGAATTCTATAAGATGTTTTTAAATATATAACACTCATCATACTGTCATGGGACAGTTATGTGTTATAAGAAATAAATTTTTATTTCAAAATATGTCAGACATAACATATAAGCGTGTATATTTTGAATCGTAAGA